ATAAATCTCCCCCATCTTTATTTGATCTTTAAGCGCTTTGAAATGGTTTTGCCTTTAAAACTACAAACTACTTTTTTNAAAAATATAGTGACATTACAATTTTTTTTAAGTTCAAGCTGACAAATTTCAGGAAAAATAATCTAGAGTATTGCTAAAATCATTCTCGATTTATAGTACTCTTGAAATATTTTAGCTGTAACTATTTCGGTGCAGAAATGTTATCACAAAGAATAAAAGCATAATAAATTATTTTAGGTTAGCCAGTGGTTTGCTTATACAATGCACATGGATCAAGACGTGTTTAAAAGCATCAATATGCAACCCCACCCTAAAATTAAGCAGTCCTGGTTAACCTGTCAACATCTTGAATTGACAAAGGGTTTGGCAAAGTACACTATAGACCAATTAATCCAGCCCTTTGAATAATATTTGAATTAGATAGTGCAGCATTATATTCCAACATAAATCTTGTATGCCCATGAACATTGAGGAATTCCCAATTGCTAGCATTTTCTTCAGGATTACCATTCCCCCTCCAAATTATTCAATTACTTTGATATCCATTTATGTTCAGGGGCCTATTCAAAAGAAACTCAAGCAACAACAACAACTTGCATTTATATAGCGCCCCTCATACACGTGTATTGATTTTCTCCCAAGCAGAATAAAATTATTTCAATATTCAATAGTTTAGGCATCGAGGAGGCAACTCAAGATGTGTTTATTACTATTCGGGTCACATAATGGAGTGGAGTCCTGTAGCTCAGTAGTTAGAGCACTCGCTTTGCAAGCAAGAGACCCGAGTTCAATTCCAGTCAGGGCGAAACCTTGGGCAAGTTTCCTTACTCCACAGAGCCTAATAATAATCCCTCCAAAACCAAAAACAATAATAAATTGGTCATTTTCAATCTACGACTGTTTGTGGGACATTGCTGTGCGCAATTGGCTGCTGCGTTCGCCCACAAACATACAGTCAATTCACTTTACAGTGTGTTCTGTGAAACGCTTTGGGACGTCCTCCCGATGTGAAAAGCGCTATATCAAATGCAAGGATTATTATTATAATTAAGACTCTTCATAATGAATGAGGATTGGATTTTTAGGTGTAGTTTCATTAATTAACAGCTTGTATTGGAACACTTAGTTTTTAGAGGCTTTCATAGAAAACGATGATAGTTAATACTTCAAAGTATTTTACGAAGTAGATTATAATACCAGGTAAATAATAATTCTTGCATTTGATATAGCGCCTTATCATGTCTGTGAGACATCTCAAAGCGCTTCACAGAATATACTGTAAAGTGAATTGACTGCATATTTTGTGGGAGAAACCAGCAGCCAATTGCGCACAGTAGTGTCCTACACATGATCGTGGATGCAAATGACCAATTTATGATTATTATTTTTTTTAAAGTGATTATTACCCCCGGAAAAGCAATCTACCAATCGACTAACAACCTTGTTCCTAGTTTCTGCTAGGTAAACAGAGGCCTGTAGAGTAAGAAAACTTACCCAACATTTCGCCCTGCCGTAAATCGAACCCACGTTTCTTGCTTGCAAGGTGAGTGGTCTAAACGCTGAGCTACAGGACTTCACATTGTTTATATTATTATTATTATTGTATTGTTGATGCAAAACTAAATTTTATTTTGTTGTTACTTATTACTGAACACATTAATTTAATTAAATTCATCCCTTTACAAAATATTCTACAGTATTATCCTTAAAATGAAAGCAGCGAGGGACAAAGGTGAAAGTACACACATAAGCCAATAAAAAGTTAAGGGCTACATATAATACCAGCTTTTACCAACATCTTGCAAAAGTATTAGTATTTAATGCTTCCTGTGTTTGATGATCTGCACTGTCACAAGGAACACTGAATTAAAAATTAGAATAGACATCCAATACAGAATGGACAGACAGTCCATCCTGTATTGTATCCAAAATGGACAAACATTTGGACATAATGAGTACACATATACAATGCACTCTGTTTAAACCAAGTGCAGAGAGTTTTGAGTGATTTTAATTAAGTAACAACCCAAACAATGAAAATAATTTTCTAACTATAATACATTTTCATTGATTAATTATAGAATTAAAGGCACCTGATTCCCTCTGTACACACGGTTTACGCGTGGCAAATAATACATATGGTTTACACAACTTTCATAACAGACACTTGTATGTAGATTATATACAAAGTAGCTACCTAGAAATCAGGTTAAGAAGATCCAAGCTAAATCATAACCCTCAAGAACATAGTTCTGATCATCATTTGAACCATAGAATAGCATTATACCCTAGGCACAAGATGTGTAGGTAGGTGTCTACATATAGCACCGATGTATTTACATTTAAGTAAAACAAACATTGTGGGCATGCAGAAATCGGATACAGAAGCAAATAGGAATAAATTGGCAGCAGCCTGAGTGCCACAGTGGAAGGTTTGACTGGGATTAGGATTTCTTATTTTTTTATATATTAAAGCACAAGGAAATTATTTTAAACGAGAATCAAGCACCCAGTGAATTATAAAGTGGTAATCCAATTACGGAGTCTGCCCACATACTTGAAGTTTACATTGCTGTTTGCAATTCATAGTGGGATTTATGCTTTTAAAAATGTAAATGAGTCTTCTAGCTGTGTTTCTGTTTGAAGACTAAAGCAGTGTCGCATAATATAGGACAGAGAAAAAAAACAGACATTGAGTGCAAGTCCAGGATGATACCTGGATGCAAATGGCCTAATATTGGAATTATCCACTTAGAGAAAGATGTTTCATGGGGAGGGGATAAGACAAATAGAGAAACCCATCAGCAATTGCCTGAGAGAATACATACACATTCTGATAAGCTATTTTACTCTTTGCCAAACACAAAAATGCATATGTACAATCTCTTTCAAGGCAAGGTAATTGTGTAGTGGCGTGCATAGATTAAACCTACTTCAAACTGCACATTAACTTCACAAAGTACCAGGAAATCCAGGGGAAGTAGACGAAATAAATAAGACAAATTTGAAGTAAAATAGTATTTCCTTCATCCACCAAGTTAAAAAGAGTCTAAAAATAGTGCAATGGAAAATTGACACATGCAAATATTTAAAAAATCTGAAAATACATATAGGTATTAACATATTGTTGAAACCAAGTTTGTTTTAAAAAAACAACCATGTTTGAACTATGCAGCAACTCACACACCTTCCAGTTCAGGACAGTTTAACAAGGCTGGGAAGGGGACTGCTGTTTCATATTCAACCTGCACAATTTAACTGAACCCAGTGACTCAGAAAGACGGTACGCCAGATATGTCAGCTTGCTGAATGGTTACCATTTGATGGATTAGTTAATTGGATAACTGTCTAACCCGGGAGTTCCACTATAGAAATTGGGACATGAATAATTTCAGTTTTGTGCCAACATCTGAAAAGCAACAAAACCACTACTGTTTCTGTTCTCAATGTTCAAATTCCTCACCCATCAAATTACTCTACAAGCACAGAACTACAGGACACAATGACACATTCTGGTGCCCACATCAATGGAACTTGCTGAAGAGGTACCAACAGACTAATGTTTCATACTTGCATTATATTCCAGGAAAAATAAATAGCATTAAACTTTTCTTTGCTATATCTGGCAATTGTAACTTGTTTGAATTTGCATTTTTGTAAAATTTAACCTCTAAAATTATTGAACAAAAAGTAGTTTAAAAAAGTATGATTTTCCTCTCCCTTAATATTTACCATTTTGAAGGAGACAATGCTAAAGAAATTAACTCAGACTGCTGACAGGTTTACAATCTCCTGAGTGTGTTTTCTTTTGAGAGCGCTCATCTTGTACAAAATGATGCTGAAATAAACGGTAGATATCCAGAAATAGTTACCTCTTTAGCAGGAGTAATTTATAAACTTGAAATAACTAAAACATGTAAAATACACAATTTATATTACAAATATATTGAAAGTTTCCATTTGCTGGCTTGCCCATTTATACACCTTTTCTTATGATGGCTTTAGTTTTTCTACCTACATTTCACAGCTGGAATGGGTTTTCTTTGACTGAAAAAATCTTGCACGAGTTTTCAATGGCCTGATAAATGTTAATTTGACATGGTTGCATTGAATATTGTTGATTGTTTTGTTGATCGTTTTTAGCTATCAAAAAGCAAAAAGAGCCTGACAATTGAGTAGATTCATTATTGACCCCAGAGCCTGTCAGCACAAGACAAATACATTCATTAACCCTCTAAATGCTTCTGACATAATTCACGTTTTACAAAGTCCATTTTGAAAACGACCACTCTTAAGTTTGATTGTTATAAGAGCAAAACTGGAAGGCCTGATTTTGATGAGAAAGGGATCCAAAGAATTCTATGACACAGTAGGAAGCTATTTGACCTATTATATTAGTATTTGCTCCTCCGATCTACCCAATTCCATGCTCTTCCCCGTACCCACCAATTACCTTCCTCTGCATGAATTTGTCCAATTCCCTTTTAAATGTCCAAACTCCTGGCAGTTCATTCCATATTCTGATAACCCTCAGAAAAATATCTTCCTAAATTCCTCAATCTTATTCCAAATTCATGCTCTCATAACACCTAGCGGGAGAAATAGTTTGTTTTTTCCTCCAAAACCTTTTCGTTATCTTCAACACCTCTATATTACCCCTCAACCTTCTTTCCCCAAATGAGCAAATGTTCTAAACTCTTCAACCTCGCTTCAGAGCTAGAAGAGCAAAATGAACAGTACAAGCATTGAAACATTTGCCCATGTTTATAGTTTGATTTCCATTTGTAAGGTTGACTATAACACATCACTTTAGTCATTCAATAGCCTGACTGATGGACACAAAACTAGGTGGTTGTAGATTCAAAAGTTCACTTGCAATGATCGCAAAGAAATATAAACTGTAAAACATATCGCAACAGCTATCATTGTAAAATACTGCAAGTCATTTTCTATGCATCGTAATTGCTGCTTTATATACTTACATGCATCAGTGAGTAAAAGGATTGCTTTCCAGTGTAGAAAAGGAAATGGAAAGGACGGCCATCTTCACCCCACTGAACAGCTATGAAAATATGAAAAAAAGTTTGTTTATCTGACTGCTACATTGCTAGAACTTTAAAATAGCTTTTATGAGCAACTGGTCTCTGTTGCCCATAATTTATCCACCCTCATTTTCCAAAAAGAAAGGAACAGGCGTTTCAATCTTTAATTGAACAAACAGATAGGAGGAATGTTAACATTGTAGGAGTTGAGGCATATTAGTCAAAACACGAAAGTGCTGCAGTTAAAATCCCAAGTCAAACATACTGATCCAGTATAATAGTGTTAACACATCATGTACACACTATTTCTGCCACTAGATGTTCCTAGAGCACTGCATCATTAGTGCACTATAGTATTTTGATTGAAGAAAAAACTTTACAATATTTTGTAGATTCCTTAAACGCAGCAGATCATGGGTTTATGGAGCTTTAAGTGACTAAATAATTGAGCTGAGTATATTCCAACATAATTTTTATAGAGTATTCTTTGCTTATGGATACTCCGTCAAATCATTACCTCCAGAACTCAGAGGGCCAGTCTGTTACTCATCTCACAACCAAACAGTCAATGGGTTTTTAAATCCAGCTGAGAAAGAAGAGTATCTTCTCTAAAAGCAAATTAAGTTTCCAATCACTAAATAAACAAGTTTCAAAATTTTCAGTTATTAAAAAAATCTAATAGTTAAAATTATTCCTAATTTATTTTCAACACACAAATTTGCAGAAGAGTATCCAGGAAATATTTTAAAAATTGTAAACTAAAACGGGGAACACTATGGATAGGACATTTTGCTAAACAAAAAGGCTGTTTAAATATAATCGTGTCTGTCTTTATGTCTTTAATCAACAGTAGTCCTGGTAATGGCCACACTTAAAAAACGGTGCTTTTAAGTACATAAATATATGGGGGCAGAGAAGAAGGAAGATCATTTTTGCAAAAAAAATCACAGCTGTGACTAATATGACTTACACTGGGTCCCTTTTCAGTATTTATCTGGGGTAATATGCAACCTATTGCTCCACTGTCAAGGATGCAGTAGCACACAGCTGTTGTAAGCGCAGAGAAGGAGATTAGCTTGTACATATGCAGTGATCCAGTTAGGTTTTGGATATACTCCCATGGCTTTAGGAAATAGCATTACAGAGTGACAACAACTAAGGAAATAGATCAGGGCAGGAATTCTCAAAAGAATGGAAAAAAGGAAAAAGTACTTTTGTACATTTTAATGTTGGTACTTGGCATTCGACACAATGGTTGGCGTGGTAACGGTTATTAAACTCTGGTTCCACTTGTGATCCTGTTACACATCACTTGCCATTAACAAAATTACTGCATACTGGTTTAAAAATAACAGGCATATATTTCCTATTAATTTTAAAAGATTGAAGCAAGATAAATTCAACAATTTCAAAGGAATAGCCTTCACATGCTTCATGTGTAAATACAAAGAGATCGTGTTCACTCTTCACATATACTGTCATGCTTCTCATGTGTACTACTCACTACTACTAAGCCTGTGGGGAAGTACCAAGTCTCCTCACAGCTATTAGCTGAGACCAGATATTTAGCAGAATGTAGGAAATACAATGTATTTGTGACAACCCTTGACAAACCTTCAAGCTTTCCCACCTTTTTTTCTTTTTTTAATAATACTAAAAGTAAAATTTCTTCCAGTAACTAAATGAGTGGTCAGGATTCAACCTTTCTCCTAGAATTCAAAAAGTACTTTGCAAAATCATCACCACTGATCACAGAGAAGAATCTAGAATGTGATCTAGGATTTTTTAAATATAAGTTACAGTTATAGAACAATTAATGGTTTCAGGTTTTCATTTTCGCCAAATTTGGCAACGGATATCAATGGCAGAGAAAAGAACATTTTGCAATGTCAGCATTAAGTACCCCCAAGTTGGTATACCATGACAACAGGTAAAGTTAAAGCTCCTGTTACTCCACCTCGAAAATATATTTCAACTTCAAAAGCACTCTCTATTGCAATGGTATTAATGTTCCCATTTCCAAAACCAACCATGACTGAAGTTTCTCAGAACGAGACGGCCACTTGACACTGAATTGTAAACAGTTCTGTGATGTGCACCACAGGACACTTAAAGCTAGGGAAATAGAATTTGACTCAAGCCCAGGTCCTAGAATTTAAAAGACAATTTTCTTTGCCATGCATTTTTTAAAAAAAAATGCTATGAAAACCATCCAAGTTTCCCTTGTAAAGAAATACTAAAAAGCAAAAGTAGCAGATGGAGATTTTTCCACTTTTATCTCAGTGTAATCAGAATACAACATTTCATTAACAGGTGAATGAGCATTAATTGAACCATACAAATGACAGATGGTTACTTGATCTACTTTCTTTCCCTCATTCGCATTTCAACATCCACGAGCAACAATACAAATTCAAAGATCACAGTACGATACTAGCAGGAGCTTTCCCTATGAAAGAACGTGAGGAATTAGTCTGGAAGAGATTCTGCACAGTGATACAATGTGCGGTTTACTGCAGGTAGCTGATGGTTAAACCTTTAACCTTTTATATAGTATTATCAAAAAGATAATTCCTTCCAACTCATCTTCACCACTGAAGGGGTTATCGCCGAAGACAACCTAATGATTACAACAGTAACAATAGTGCTCTTGTATCCAGTTTATTTGCTCCAGTTAAACAAAGCAGAATGTAATATGGTTAACAGCAATACATTACATCAACCAGAGCTGAGATTGAAATAGTTAGCCAGAAGTTCGCACAACTACATCCAGCAGGTCACTCACTCATTGTGATCCCATTATAACACACCCCGATTCAGCGACCCGCACTATTCTGGAAACACAATACATTTCCTGTGCGTAACACGAAGGTTCAGAAAGTGCCAGTGACATCGCTTCCTGTACACTACACGTGTGTTGTGCACAAGAAGCTCCATTGACGCTATTTTTTGTGTCCTGAGCATGCAAGAAGCACCGCTGTTGTTGTTTCACAAAGAAAATGATGTCAGCAACAACCTGATAACCTCAGAAGTGCTAGTCAATGGCGATTTAATAACTGGGTCTGTGTTTATGGTGACAAATCACTGCATTATAATGGGGTTGCCTTGTATTATTCTGCTTCCTAATCATAGAGGGATTAAATTTACAGGAAGAACTTCCCAGCATCTGGTACAGTGACAGAAATTAGTGAGGACCTAATACTGAAGGTGCCCACCTAGCTTCTTGCAAGCTAGCAAGAGGGAATTAGGGTCAGTTTAGTACTTTGACCCACACTATCTCGGAACTGAGTTCAGGCATCCAACCTCATTCGATGCAAGGCTATATTGTAGGCTCAGTAATCTGTGACCATTGATTGTAAAGAAAGGTTAAGTATATCCTACTCTATTTATCTCATCATTGTTAATGGCACCTTTAACGCCTTTCAAAAAAGCGTTTTGAGAAGTGTCAATGCGATAAGGTGCTCCAAAAATGCAAGTTCTTCCCTTTTTTCAGTTATCTGGATTTTAAGCATTAATTTTTTTGTTAGAAGTACCTTGGAAGCTGACATTTTATACTACCTCCTATTGATCATTGTGAATTGGGACTACGGATTCCATTCATGTCACATCAGGGGCAGCACGCACAAAACGTCAGTTCCCAGGCTGCCTTTGACCAGTTTTTCTATAGCATAAACACAGCAATAAAGAGTAACAAAGAAATGATAAATGTAGAGGTATCTTCCTTTTCCAACATCTAGCATTAGAAGGATAATTCAGTGGAAGAAATGTAGTGATTTTGTGGAGAAGTGGCATATGAACGAATTGTAATAAGCAGACTATGTGGAGTGGAACACATCAGTGAGCAGATGGCAATTGGGACTGTAATTTAAAAACAATGGATAAATGACATCAGGACATGTGTTACAAGTTCATGGTCAGTCATGCTCAGATTGACAAAACTCCCTTATTTCTCTCATTTTTCTTCAAAAAAAAATAAATTTACCTCTTTGTTTCGGAAAGACCTCTAAAGGATGCTGCAATTAAGAAAACACATCATTAAATTGAGTAAATTCAAAACAAAATAAATGAAGCAGAATCTTAAAGACATAAAACATTTTCATTACCTTCATGATTGGCTTAGCGTGCTTGTCAAACAGACCAGATGGGAAAAGGTACCTGATAGCTTTCTGCAACAAAGATGATAAATAAGTCAATACCTTCGATATTAGAAAAAGACCTTGTACAAATAATGGCAGTTTTGCATGAACTGACAGAATTTTTTCAGGTGATTACATTTTTTGACTCTGCTCTCAGTGTTGCAGATCACTGAACTTTTACAATCAGACTAGCAGTGCTTGATGATAACACTAGATATTTAAAAAATTGGAGTTCCACATGCACCAACAATTACATAATTCTTAAGGAATTTACAGAAACTTTTGCAATGGTTGGTTGCAGCACCAAAGTGAAAAACAGATTTGAAAGAACCCCATTTCCAAAAAGAAATATCATCATGGCTCACTCGATGGCACAGTGAATAAACAAAAGGTCCGGGTTCAATCCTTGGTCTTGCTCTCAAAACCCCTAGGTTCCAATTGGGGAGGGGGGAGAGAGAGGAAAGTCGGCCAGATTCCTCTACTGCTTGCTATCTAAAGGCGTCTGCTGAATCTGTGTAGCTATTAGACAATGACAAGATCGGACTCAAATGTAATCACAATGGATTCAGATGAGCTCATTTAATCATGCAGAATACTAATCCTCCAGTCCTTTGATCACATCGTCAAGCTTTTGATTAAAAAAAAGGAGTCTAGAGCCCCAACCTCAATCACTCTTCCTGGTAAACCTGTTCCAGTTGTTAATTACCCTCTGAGTAAAGAAGTACTTCCTGGTGCCTGTCCTGAAATTGCACTTTGCAACTCCAAATCTGCGTTCTTTTGTTTTATTTCGGTGCATCTAAAAGTTACAGATGCCCAATGAAGATTCTGCTGACATTAGGGATGTAACCTTACATAAGTCTGCGTGGCACGCATGTGCAACCCCCCCACACCCACAACTACAACCACACACGGTGAAGTATCAAGAATGCTGTTTCCACCTACGGCACTACAGCACATACTGAGAGGTAAACGAAAACAAAAAATATTGAATATGGATGTACAAACAATTATGAAACAATTGAAACAGATTTTGAAGTTTTAAGGATATTCTACTGAGCTGGTAAGAATGAATGGATACACACATGCACAATTCAACATGTGGTCATTTTAATATAAATGATTTATGAATGGTTGGAAATCTGGAAAACATTATTATGCACAGAAAAAACAATTACTCAAAAATTATAAATCATAAATTCCCTTTCTCTTTCCCTCTAGCCATACCTTGTGGTATGTGAGAGAACAGATTACAAATGATTTGCAATAAGTAGCAACTTTATTAATGTTTTACAAAATTAAGTTGCAACCTAAAAATAGGCTATAAAATTTAAAACAAATTAGATTAGCCCAGAATGCTTTTAGATGATGACAAAATGAACATTGAAAATTAATCGAGGGAAGACTATACGCTTGTACATTCAACACAAAGGGATTCAAAACAAAGAGTTTTGAAGCACTGGGCAAAGAATTGGTTTGTCAGGAACTTTCCAATAGGAAAAGCCTTGTTACAGTAGTTTCATCATTACTATCATGAACTACCTATTCCAGCTTGCAGGAAAGTATTAACTCATATTTTAAGAGTTAAGAACTTGGTAATTATAGTACTGCATGTGAAAAAAAAACATGTTCTCAACCACTCTCTCTTTACAGGAAAGATGTTATAATATTGGTACTTTACTACAAATTATAATGCCACTTGGCTGTGCTGGGAGGCGGGGAGGAGGGGGGGGGGGAAGGGACCACACTTATCTTTTCTTGGAGAACACAGTTGACAGAAGCCAAAGCATTAGGAATTCATTAGAATTTCCCAAACTGTACAGCTTTCTAGTATAAAAATCTTAAAGTTGCTCATCTGTGACTACTCTGGTCTTTATGCTGTTGTGTTACATGGTTCTTAAAAGTTCCTTCAGTAACATTTCTACTCCCACAATTTCATTGGTGAACCAGGAAGGCAGCTCAGTCAGCAGCAATTGGGTCAGGTATCGATCACCTAGATGGGCCACCACAGTTGACGCAGCTTTAGAGATATTCCATGTTTCCTTTTGCTAGGCACATCACCCTAGAGCCAATTTATCGAGAAACATTACCAACTGCCCAAAACAAAGGCTCAGTAGTGCAATAGCATTGTATAATCTGCAAACCTATTCTTCAAATCAAAGAATTAGGCCTTTGTAAGAAAATTATAGTACAGCCTCCTGGCTCAACTGACCGCCTCCAAGTCAGAAGGTTGTGGGTTCAAGCCCCACTTTGGGAATTGGAACTCACATCATCTAAACTGACACTCCAATGCAGCGCTGAGCATGCATTGCTTTGTTGGAAGTGCTGTCCTTCAGATGAGACATTAAACCGAGGTCCCATCTGCTTGTTCGGGTGGACGTTAAAGATCAATTCAAAAACAAAAGGGAATTTCTCCCGGTGTCCTGGCCAACAAACCCCCAAACAAAATATTGTTTATTCATTTCATGGCTGTGTGTGGGACATTGTTATATTCAAATTGACTGCCACATTTGGCTAAACAAATACAGTGACTACACTTCACAGTATATCCTGTGAAATGCTTTCGTTTAACAATATTAAATGGGTTAAAACATTCTGCACTTCTATTAATTTCCTACAATACTAAAGATAGTTTTTTATGAAATACATTTTGTGTCTCAAGACTATTGACATTTTAACACAATAGACCAATCAAAATAATTGCTCTTTCCAGAAAAATGTATATCAAGTTTCTTGTAGAAAGACTGTATTGTATATAAGTTGTATTTATATAGCTCTTCTCATATACTAAACATCTCAAAGCCCTTTACAAAATACATGATCAATTAGAAATGAAGTGAATGTTGTTATAAAGATAAACAAGACAATAAAGGTAAGATGCACAAAGTCCCATGAGCTACATTGAAATAAATAACTAATTAATTTGAATTTGGAAGTACATTTGTATTAGATGGGGAACACAAGATATGCTAACTGGAAGAAAAAACTCTCTTTGTTTTCCATTCTTTTAAATAGGAATGACATGGTGAATCACAAGGTGGACAAAACCTCAATTAATAACAGAATAAGAGAATGGGATCATCACCTAGAAATAACACAATTCTATTTATATAGAATGTTATGTAGGCAAAAGTGGCAGTTAATCTGTGATTGCTATGTCCCACAATCAACGAGTACAATTAAAATTGAAGGAACGAAAAAGAAAAAAACTAATATATAATATATAATAACTAATACATAACTAGATTTTTTTAAAAAGAGGACATACAAATTGTATACCCTATTTGAGAAGAATGGACACCAATAAACGCATTATTAGAAAGTCCAATTACATTCAACAACCCCAATTTCATGTGTATTTATAAATCTGAACAATAAAGAAAAGTTGAGCTTTGGTAGCAAATTCCAGGCGCATTGCCAGGTTGACACTGCCTAAGTAGCATCATTTCACTTTCTCCATTGACAGAGAATTAAATTTGACTGTACTACTACTGACTTGGGAAAAGCAGTGGGGTCATGTTGGCCATCTCTACCAATTAGTTATCCTGCCTGGGCAGTGAAAATGCAGCTGTTTACTCACTCAATGACTCACCCGAATGTCATTTCCACTGATTTGCTTCTAAATTAACAGCAAGAGCAGCTAATGTACAGGTGCTAATTTATTTCAACTCTTCTCAGCAGATTCGCAGAGCTCTATAATCCACATCTGGTACTTAATGCTAGTTGTCAATTTCACTTAGACACGCTTGTCTTAACAACTTTATTTATTATAAATGAGTAGAAATCATAATATATCATGAATAATTGTATAATGGATGAAATAGGCAGAGCAAATCAATTAGAAAAGAATCATATACAGTATATTTAAAGACAAATTCGAGGTGTTTGAATTAGCATATTTAACTAACTAAGCAATTTATTTCTTCATGCACCAAGATATTAGCAAAAATTTTCAAAAAATACATCTTTTGCTGTGGATTATAGTAAATACACGATCATTCCTTAGACTGGAATTCTCTGACTTACAGGGACAGAACTGAACATTTGCCAGTTACTAACACTGGTTTAACTAGGCCAAATGGATTTTCATGGTACTGGTGTTTTTAACACAAGAGTTTTAAAAATAAAATAAGCCCAATTTAATGCTTTAATGTTCATTATATTTCAGGATCTAACTGGATCAGTGTGTTGCTAAAACTGTTTTAAAAAAGTAAAGTTAGAAAAGAATTTCTCTCAAGAAGTAACAGGTGCCTTGTCCCTTCTTTCTATTTTAAATGACAATGAAGTGGTGGATGTTTTCCTCTGTTTTAGCGAGTGCCTTCTGTCAGCTCAACAAAGATGCTGATGGACCTTTGGAAGATCTGGTCACCCAGTTAAAGGATGTGTGAAGATGTACTCAGTCTTGAAGTAGAAAGTGAAACATAGGTAGGGCTTCTTTTCTTTGGGGTTTAAAAGATTTAATTTTCAGGGTTTATTTTCAGCTTTTTTTGTGGTGCTCTAAAAAACAAACAGGCCTTTTCAGGGCATTTATTTACAACCACAACAAAATGACATTGTTTTGCACCTTTCACGTCGGGAGGATGTCCCAAGGCGCTGGACAGTCAGTGTTTTGGACCCGAGCTGGGGGTTGGGATTGGGGAGGGTGGAGAGCAGAGGGAGAAGCAAGGTGATCGAAAGCATGGTTGAACAGCAGGGTCTTGAGATGGGTCTTGAAGGAGGTAAAGGAGGGGGCGAGGCAGAGGGACTGTGGGATGGAGTTCCAGAGGATGGGGGCCGAGTGGCAGAAGGCCCACCCACCAATGGTAGAGCTGGCAAACCGGGGGAAGTGAAGGAGGCCAGAGCCTGCTGAACGGAGGGAGCGGGCAGGATGGAAGGGGGTTAGGAGGTCGCAGAGGTAGGTGGAGCAAGGCCATGGAGGGCTTTGAAGGTGAGGACCAGGATCCTCTGTGTGATGGGAAGCCAGTGGATTTGGGAAAGGATGGGGGTGATAGGGTCACGGAGCCTGGTGCGGGAGAGGACACGGGCTGTTCTGGATGATCTGTCGCCTATGGAGGGAGGAGTTGGCGGAGGTACAGTTGGGTGTTATCCGCATACATGTGGAAGTTGACCCCATGTCTGCGGATGATGTCACCAAGAGGGAGCATATAGATATTGAAGAGGAGGGGATCAAGGACAGAACTCTGAGGAATGCTGCACGAAACAGTTAGGGGACTAGAGGAGAAACCGTTTGTGGAGATGAAGTGGAGGTGGTGTGAGAGGTACAATCTGACCATTCAAGGACAGAATCGTGAAGGTTGAGCTGAGAGGAGAGGCAGTGGATGGGGATAGAGTGATCAACAGTGTCAAAGGCAGCAGAGAGGTCAAGAAGGATGAGAAGGCAGAGGGAGGCTTAGTTGCAGATAGACAGAATGCATTTGTCACTTTGACCATGGCTGTTTCTGTGCTGTGGGTATGTTAAGGACAGAAGTGATGACGGACATTTTTAAAGGAGTGGGAACAGTACCAGTCGACAGAGAGGTTTAGGTTGTCTGTGAGTAGAGGGGCAAGGAGGTGGAGCTGGGAGGTAAGAATAGGGGTAGGGATGGGGTCTAGGGAGCGGGTAGTCAGTTTCATGTGGGTTATAGTGGAGTCCTGTAGCTCAGTGGTTAGAGCACTCGCCTTGCAAGCAAGACACCTGGGTTCAATTCCAGGCAGGGCAAAACCTTGGGCAAGTTTCCTTACTCCACACGCCTAATAATAATCCCTCCAAAACAAAACAAGAATAAAAATTGGTCATTTTGAATCCACGACTGTTTGTGGGATACTACAGTGCGCAATTGGCTGCTGCGTTTTTCCCACAAATATACGGTCAATTCACTTTACAGCATGTTCTGTGAAGCTCTTTGAGACGTCTAAAGACGTGAAATGCGCTATATCCAATGCAAGGATTATTATTATTATTATTACAATATCGTGGTGATGAGAGAGGAGCGGGAGACGGGTTCGAAGGTGTGGAGGGAGGGACAGGTAGAAACCGGGGTGTGGGGTGAGATGGGGAGGGTGGAGTAGACGGAAGGGCAGAGGCAGCTGAGCAGATCCACTCGATGTTGGATTCAAGGAAGTCCAGCATCGCCTCGCAATTGGCATTGGAGGTGAGGATGGGCGAGGCATGAGATGGTGGGTGGAAGAGCCGGTTGGTGATGGAGAAGAGAAGCCTGGGCCTTGGCCGCCAAGATTGTCTTGGAGTAGAAGGACGATTTAGCGGAGGTGAGGGCGGAGCGGTAAGATTTGATAAGGTCTGCCAGATCTGCCGATGGACCGTTAAGTTCAATTTAAGCCAGGTGCGTTCAGCAGCACGCACCTGTGCTTTAAGGGAGCGGAGGTGGCTGGTGTACCATGATGACATTTGTGAGTAGGAGACTGTACAGGAAGTGAGTAAGGGAATGAGAGTGATGCAGAGTGAGCTATGGAGAAGAGTGATCAAGGAGGATAGGTCATTGCGGGAGGAAGCCAAGAGGAGTTCAAATAACTCCAAGGCAGCGGGGATGGAAAGATTTTTTTCAGGGGCAGTAAAAGATGGAGATGGGTTGGGTGGCAGTGGGAAGAGGGATCCTCGGCGATAAATAACGAGAATTTTGAGGGAAAGGTTAGAGGGGTGATAAAGGGTAAGGTGCTCAAAGGAGGGGAAGGTTCCAGAAGAGTAACAACAACAACAACAAAATTACATTAATAGAGCGCCTTTCACGTCGGGAGGATGTCCCAAAGTGCTGAACAGTCAGGTGTCGGGGCCGAGGCATGGGTGAGGGATGGTGTAGGGGTGAGGGAAGGCAGAGAGGTGGGAGGGAGACCAAAGGCATGGTTGAAGAGAAAGGTCTTGAGACCAACCTTGAAGGAGGCAAGGGAGGAAGCGATGCGAAGGGACCGTGGGATGGAGTTCCAGAGGGTGGGGGCAGAGAGAATGAAAGCCCGGCCACTGATGGTATGGCGGGTCGGGCGGGAGACATGGAGTAGGCCGGAGCCCGATGAACGGAGGGAGCGGGCAGGCTCGTAGGGAGTCAGCAGGTCAGAGAGGTAGGAGGGGGCAAGGCCATGGATGGCTTTAAAGGTGAGGACGAGGATCTTGAACTCGATCCTGTGGGGGATGGGGAGCCAGTGGAGTCAGTCGAGGGTGGGAGTGATGGGGTCACGAAGCCTGGTGCGTTAAGAGTACATGAGCTGCAGAGTTTTGGATGATCTGCAGCTTGTGAAGGGAAGAGTTGGGAAGGCCGATACAACAACAACAACAACAACAAGATTCCATTTATAGAGCGCCTTTCACGTCAGGAGGACGTCCCAAGGCGCTGCACAGTTGGGTCATGACCCGAGCAGGGGAGAAATGGTCAGGGTGAGGGGAGGGAAGGGAGGGAGAGAGGAGGGGGAAATGGTCAGGGTGAGGGGAGGAAGGAGGGAGCGAGGAGGAGGAAGAGAGTCGAGAGGGGAGCTGAAGGCACGGTCAAAGAGAAAGGTTTTGAGACCGGCCTTGAAGGAGGAAAGGGAGGAAGCAAGGCGAAGGCACTGGGGGATGGAGTTCCAGAGCCTGGGGGCTGAGAGGCTGAAGGCCCGACCACCGATAGTAGGGCGGTTGGGGCGGGGGACGTGGAGCAGACCGGAGCCAGAGGAACGGAGGGTACGGGCAGGTAGGTAGGGGGATAGTAGGTTGGAGAGGTAGGAGGGAGCAAGGCCGTGAATGGCCTTGTAGGTGAGTAGGTAAGGAGGTAGTTCCTGTAATCAAGCCTTGAGGTGACAAATCCATGGGTGAGGGTTTCAGCAGCCTGAGGGGTGAGGCAGTGGTGGAGTCTGGCAATATTGAGTAAGGAGATAGGCCGAGTGGGGAATGGGAGATGAAAGCCACACCGTCACCATGGCAGTTATGTCGTGGAGTATGGTGGAAGGTGTAGCTGGGTGGGTGTGGCCTTTGTCAGGGGGAAGGTGTCATCTGGAGTGATCCAGGTTTCAGTGAGGGCGAGAATGTTGATATTTTCGTCAACAATGAGGTCTTGGATGGTGAATGTTTTATTGGAGAGGAAGCGGACATTTTGTAGTCCAATGCGGAGGGGGCTGTTGGTGGCGGAATTTGGGGGGCTAAGAGGAGGATTGACAGGGAAGGTGGAGATGTGAATAAGGGAGGAGAGGTTGGCCCCTGTGGTCAGGGACCGATTTACTTGATTTAAGAAGTTTCAGACGCTCCTGTGTAAATGGAAGTTAGAGAGGCTCCCTCCCTCCTCTCACATCTCATCGCACCTGTGCATATGGAGAAAGAGTGTAACATATGCACAGTAGGCATCAGGGTAAGTAATCACCTACGGGGTTTTGTGGTGAATGTTGGATAAAGAAAAAATTGTATTGGGGGTGTTTTATTGGGGGTTTCAGTTTTAGCCAAAAATCATAAACCCTAAACGTAGTAGTAGTAAAAGTGTTTAAAGGAATAACTTACATCTATATCCTCCTGATTAAATGTTTCTGGGTCTTCTCCCATCATATTAGCCAAATGTCTCTTCCCGATATTGAACTCTTTAATTTGTTGCTTAATAAACTCTTCAGTGTACTTCTCATGGAATGTACCAGTCATATTCTTCTTTTGCAGTGAGGAACTGCTGCAGATTAATCTTATCTAGAATTTTTAAATGAAAAAACACAATTGTATTTCAACAATCAGATAAGGAAACAATCATTTTGTCTTCAAGTAATTAATTCATCAACTTTAACCTGAAAGCGTCACCTAGATCTGCCAATTCGATTTCCAGTTTGTCTGTCAAAACATGCAGATCAATTGTTAAAGGTTCGACACAAAACAAATTGAAGAATTGCTGATATGCACAGGTCCATAGCATAAAAGGGCCACAGTTCAGTACAAACTGTCAATTGCTCTTGGCAAGGCCATAGGCTGTGGGATGTGGTAACAGCACAATTTGTGCAGTAAGATTTGTTCTTCTGAGACTCCAGTTAAGACACACTAATACACAATAGTTATGCTGAGACTATGTGTTCTATTTCAGAGACTGATATTCCTTACCTAGATAAACAGACATCATTTTCAGGTGCATTGGCAAATGTAGGATGTGGAAATGTGTGTAAAACAGTTTGAAAACTGGATCAGTTTAATACAGATCTGGGTATTTGATAATGATAACAAGGAAGATGATTGGGGCAGCATTGAGAATGGAATGGGAAATATTAAACGCATCTTCCACTGCCTCATTCTAACTTTGCACTATTTGTTGATTATTTGCACTTTGCACTTGCACTATGGAAACACCATAGCTGGATACAGTAGAACTGAGGAGAATATCCAACAAGAATTCCTGTTACTCTTCCCAATTCCAACTGTGGCCACCTTTATACTCTCACATTGTGGACTCAATGATCAGTGGAAATAATCTATTACCATTTATCTCATCACAACCTTGAAAAACACCATCACATTACTCCTGAACATTCAGTGTTTCAAAGAAACAATTTCTCAAGTCTCTCTTTATAGTTGAATCCCCTCAACCTGGTAACATTGTAAATAAATCTACTCTGCTTCTTTTCTATTCCATCTTATTTCTCATGCATAAATGGTTCAGCTAAGCAAGTCTGGAGATAAAATGCCACTTCAATTCTTGAATAGCTTACAAATTACATTCTGTACATGCATCAGACAGCAACTGTATCAATGCTTTTGTTGCACGACACATACCTTTGTGGTATCCCAGAATACTGGGATGTTGTACATTAGATTATACCATGCATGCTGATGTGCAAGACTATCATTGCTTTACCATTAAAGAACATCCTTTGTTGTCTGATGAAAGACGATCTTAATAAAAGACAATTGTCATTGGGGAAAAAGAAAACTATTGAGCAGGAGCTTCAAAGCTTTTCTAAGAGACCATAGCTTCAATGCTGACTTTCTTTTTGCTTCAGCTCTTTATTGCCAGTTCAACTCTTGCTTCAATCAGCTCTAATTTGTCCCCGGGGCTGCGATCAGTCTCTTAAATCTTAGGAGCAATTAATGTTCAAAACTTTGAAACAAGGGAGGTAACAAAATGCTTATAGTCCATAAAATATAAACTTGAAACATACTTTTCTTGTTTCTCAAGACGTTCTAGCTTGTTATATTTCTTACGGACTTTTCTCCTTGCAGCCTTCTCTCCTCAAACCTGCACTTTTGATCCCCTATCTATTCTCAATGAGAGTGTGGCCAGGTGCTTCTAAGGAGTTGGCCACAATGTGAAAGGAAAGCATACGATACGGGGTAAATAATGGCAATTTACCGATGCACTGACAAACCAGACTTGCAATTTCAAAATGATAATTCATTAATTTTAGCAACTACTGAGGAAGGAACCCAGCTGGGATGGTTCTGCTTCATAGTAGCAGCTTGCATTTCTATAGCACCTTTCGTGTAAACAAAAAATGCTTGACAATGTTATAAATATGAGTGAAGAAATGATAGATTTAAACAGGATAGATTTACAGAACAGGAGTCCTGTAGTTCAGTGGTTAGTGCACTCGCTTTGCAAGCGAGAGACCCGAGTTCAATTCCAGGCAGGGCAAAACCTTGGGCAAGTTTCCTTACTCCACACGCCTAATAATAATCCCTTCAAAAAAAACAATAATAAATTGGTCATTTTCAATCCACGACTGTTTGTGGGACATTGCTGTGCGCAATTGGCTGCTGCGTTCGCCCACAAATATACAGTCAATTCACTTTACAGTGTGTTCTGTGAAGCGCTTTGGGATGTCCTTCCGACGTGAAAAGCGCTATATCAAATGCAAGGATTATTATTATTATTATTATTAAAGATGTTGACCAAAGCATGTATAAAGAAATCTTTTAAGAGCTATTTGAAAACCTCAAGACAAACCGGTTCCAGACGAGAATTTCAAAGGACAAGACATGGTAGCTGTAAGGCAAGCCACAAATAGTAAAGGGAATGGGGAGTGAGAAATAAACCAGAGTTGGAGGAATAGAGGGTACAACAACAACAATTTGCATTCATATGGTGTCCCTCACACAGGGTAGCGTCCCAAAGCTCTTATAGGGTAGGAACAATAATAATCCTTGCATCAGATACAACGCTTTCACGTCTTCTAGACGTCTCAAGGCGCTTCACAAAATATACTGTAAAGTGAATTGACTGTATATTTGTGGGTGAAACGTGGCAGCCAATTGTGCACAGCAATGTCCCACAACAACAACAACAAGATTCCATTTATAGAGCGCCTTTCACGTCAGGAGGACGTCCCAAGGCGCTGCACAGTTGGGTCATGACCCGAGCAAGGGGGAAATGGTCAGGGTGAGGGGAGGGAAGGGAGGGAGAGAGGAGGGGGGAAGTGGTCAGGGTGAGGGGAGGGAAGGGAGGGAGCGAGGAGGGGGAAGAGAGTCGAGAGGGGAGCTGAAGGCACGGTCAAAGAGAAAGGTTTTGAGACCGGCCTTGAAGGAGGAAAGGGAGGAAGCAAGGCGAAGGCACTGGGGGATGGAGTTCCAGAGCCTGGGGGCTGAGAGGCTGAAGGCCCGACCACCGATGGTAGTCAAACAGTCATGGATTGGGTGACCAAATTGTTATTGTTTTTTTTCAATGTTGGGCTTCAGAAGATTGCACAATTAGGGTGAGGCGAGACCATGCATGGAATTGAAGATAAGAATAAGCATCTTGAAATCAAGCCTTTGAGGTGTGGAGCCTTGGGTAGAAAACTTGAGCCGCAGAATTCTGAATCAGTTGAAGCTTCTAGAAAATCGAGCTAGCGAGGCCAGCAAGGAGAGTATTTGAAAAATCTATCTTTAAAGTAACAAATGTGTGTACAGTAGAAACACCATTGTAACACACATCATTAAATCACAGGTTAGTTTACAGCATAGTTGGGATCTGGACTCCAACATTTACTTACCAAAACATCTAGATTGGGACAAAGAAAGCCAATTCCTTCAAAACGCCAGCCATCTCTTTGCATGCTAAAAAATGTCTTATCTCAGGGCAACTCACATGCAATGCAGCCAAAACCCTCATCCACCCGTTCATCATGTCCTTCCTCAGTTATTTCAATGCCCTCTTCAATGGTCTCCCCAGCTCCACCATTCACAATATCCAATTAATTCAAAACTTCATCACCTGTATCCTCAGCCGTACCAAACTCCATACCCCAATCAACCCAGTCCCTTACCAGGCTCCACTGGCTCCCTATCACAGAACGGATTGATTTGAAGATCCTCACACTTCTTTACCTCTCCGACCTGCTTACTCCCCCCCACTCTACCACCTGGCCCCTTTGTTTAGGGAGGGGCATGGAGCAGGCCAGAGAGGAGGGAAAAGTACCCTGGTTTGTTAGATCTTGGCAGATCTTTTAATCCCAATGCCCTGGGCTTTCATCATACTCCGTTGTACCTTTACTACACAAGTATTCTTTTATTTATCATTTAAGTATTATTTAGCCTCCTTGAAGTCCCACCTCAAAACCTTCCTTTTCGACCATGCCATCGGTCACCCCCCTTCCCCTCCCCTCCCTTCTCCCCCCGACCCCAGCTTGGGTCTGAAATGCTGTACACTGTCCAGCGCTTTGGGACGTCCTCCCGACGTGATGGACGCTATACAAATGTAATCTTGTTGTTGTTATTGTACCACTCTTTTAAGTATCCGCATTCATTCCACCTCTACATCTGATGTTCCCTTTTACACCCTGTAATGGATTCCTATACCAAAGAGAAGAGTTGTCCATTTTCAAACCTGTCAAATCCTTTCATTATTTTAAATACCTCAATCAAATCACCCCTTAACTTCCTCTGCTCTAAGGAATATAACCCAAGTCTATCTGGTCTATCAACATAATTATGCCCCTTCAGACCAGGTATTAATCTAGTGAACCTTCCTGGACACCCTCCAAGACTAGTGTCCAAGATTCCAGCCTGCTCCACGTCCCCCGCCCCACCCGCCCCGGAGAGCCTTCAGCCACTCGGCCCCCAACCTCTGGAATTCCATCCCGCAATTACTCTGCCTCGCCCCCTCCTTAGCTTCCTTCAAGTCCTGCCTCAAAACCCTCCTCTTCGACCATGCCATCGGTCATCCACCTTCTCCTTCCCTCCCTTCTCCCCCCGACCCCAGCTTGGGTCTGAAATGCTGTACACTGTCCAGCGCCTTGGGACATCCTCCCGACGTGAAAGGTGCTATACAAATGTAACCTTGTTCTTTTTGTTGTTGTTGTATCCTTCCTAAGATTGCATGTTCAAAATTGAACAAATGAGGGCTGACCAGTGTTCTATGTATCTCGTGAATCACCTCCTTAATTTATATTTCATACCTCTTGGAACAAATATCAGCATCGCATTTATGTTAATGACTGCTTTCTGCACCTGCAAATTAGATTTTAATATTCTACAGACTTGAATCCCTAGATTTCTCTTCTCATTTATCCCTCCTAATATTTCTCTTTATGGAACACTTGCTCAACTGCTATCCAAAATTTTCATCCAAAATGTACTACTCACTTTTACATTGTTGAACTGCTCCTGCCACAGTTCTGGCTTAATCTTTGTACGGATAGAAATTTAATTTATTGTTGTTCCTTTGGATTTTTCATCTGACCGCTTTACAATTAAAGAACCTCCTGGCTTAATGTCATTTGCAAAGTTATGAATAGTCCCCTCTCTGTATGTGGGTCATAGATATAAAAGGTAAAAAGCTGTGGCTTCTTCACTGATCAGTGGCAAAATAACTTACTGCTGCCCATCAATCAGTGAATATTCCTTAGAGCAGAGGTTAAGATGTACTTTTAAATTCCAATTCTGCACCTCCTTTCTCCTGATCAATTTGCAACATTATATTTGTAAAGTGCCTTTCACGTCAGGAGGACGTCCCAAGGTGCTGAACAGTTGGGGATCAGGACCAGAGCGTGAGGGAGAGTGGGGCCCAGTGTTGGGATGAGGGAGGGTAGAGAGATAGCAATCCATGACACAATACTGCCCTCAACTCCACGTGCCTTTGTTTTAGCTAATAATTTTTAATGTGGCGCTTTATCAAATGGTCTCTGAAAATTCCATATATATGAACATCCATCAAACTCTCTTTATCATCTCTGCGCTTCTGCCACAAAATTCTATTGCATTTATTAGACATAACCTACTGTTCACAAAACCATTTTGACTCTCACTGATCTGTGCATATTTATCTACACGCTCCATTATTCTGTCCATTATGACAGATTCTAGTGATTTGTCTCCCAATGATCCTAAACCCCTAGGCCTATAGTTGCTCTTTTGTCCTTTTCTTCCTTCTTGAATAATAGTTACATTTGCTCTCCTCCAAATGTGTCAGCCTGGCTCAGTTGGTAGTAAGTACTCTTGCATCTGAGTCACAAGGTGTTCAAGCCCTACAACAGGATTTAAAACTCAGCCTACGCTATTCAAATATCTGCTTTTAAGCAAGAAAGCTTCTAGGCCTACAACAATTGCAGACAGTTCTCCTGTTCTCAGTCTATTTCAAAATATAAATTATTGGTCTTGGCTATGAAACCGGCTGCCACTGGATTTGGTCATGTTATTCCTTCTCTCCATGCCCACTGCATCCATGTCTGCAGTCTCTCTTCCAGTGGTGAGACATCACCTTGTTGACGAGTATCAACAAGATAATAATAATCCCTCCAAAAAAACCAAAAAACAATAATAAAAAAAAAATTGGTCATTTTCAATCTACGACTGTTTGTGGGACATTGCTGTGTGCAATTGGCTGCCGCGTTCGCCCACAAATATACAGTCAATTCACTTTTCAGTGTGTTCTGTGAAGCGCTTTGGGACGTCCTCCCGACGTGAAAAGCGCTATATCAAATGCAAGGATTATTATTATTATTATTATTATGCTGACACTTCAATTGAGTGTGGGGTGTGCTGTTGTGTTGGGGTCCCACCTGCCTGTTCAGGTTTATGTTAAAGATTCCATGGCACTATTCAAAACGAGAGTGAGTTTCTCAAGGTGTCCTGGTCAACTATCCCCTAAATAAAATTAATTATTCACTTCTTGGCTGTTTGTGGGACATTGCTTTGTGCAAACTGACTGTCGCATTTGCCCGAAAAATACACAAGTCACTCCACTTTACAGTAGAGTGTATCCTGTAAAGCATTAATAGGACTCTGTTAATAGGGCATCAATAACATACAACTTGCATTTACATAGTGTACCTGATGCAGAGTAGCATCCCAGAGCACATCAAAGAGAGAAAAGCACTATATCAAACATTAGGATTATCAACTTCTGGATGAAATCCTGATATATTGTACTTTGGAAAATAAAAACTAAAACTGTATAATTTCTTCCCTCATTTCTTTTAGTACCCTGTGACAGAAACTATTTGGAGATTTGTCTGATTTTAGACCCACTAGTGTGCCCATTACTACTTTTTGATTTATAATTAGGATTTCCAGTTTCTCTTCTTCCCCAAACACCAGCCTTCCTTGAAACTCTGAATATCCCTGAACATCCTCCTTTTCCACTGTGAAAACTGAAGCAAAATATCCAGTCAATAATTCTACTATGTCCATATCCTCTACAACTCACACAGTATGTTGTCAATGGATTCACCCTCTTTTTTACCATCTTTTAATATTTATTGAATAATCATTTGAAAAGAAAAAATATAAAAGGGTACAGGGAACATTTTGTTGAAAATTGGTCACCCCACTTTAGGAAACATGTCAATGCGATATAAGAGGGGGTGCAGTGGAGATTTACTAGGATGATACTGGAGTGTGTGGTTTGACCTAAGAGTGGAGACTGGAGGAAACTGGGACTGTTTTCACTGGAACAAAAAAGATTGAGGGTCTCTAAAATTATGAGGAGTCTTAATAAATTCAATAGGGAAAAATAATTTCCACTAGTTGGTGAGTTCGTAACTAGAGGGCATCAATTTAAGATAGTTAGTAAACAAGCAAATGGGGAGATTCAGATAATTTTTTTCATACACAGAGTAGTTGGGACATGGAATGTCAATGTCCTGCCAAGAGCGTGAATTGAGGCAAAATTCATATTAATAATAATAATAATAATCCTTGCATTTGATATAGCGCTTTTCACGTCGGGAGGACGTCCCAAAGCGCTTCACAGAACACACTGTAAAGTGAATTGACTGTATATTTGTGGGCGAACGCGGCAGCCAATTGCGCACAGCAATGTCCCACAAACAGTCGTAGATTGAAAATGACCAATTTATTATTGTTTTTGTTTTTTGGAGGGATTATTATTAGGCTCTGTGTGGAGTAAGGAAACTTGCCCAAGGTTTCGCCCTGCCTGGAATTGAACTCAGGTCTCTCGCTTGCAAAGCGAGTGCTCTAACCACTGAGCTACAGGACTCCACAAATTAGCCTTCAAGAGGGAACTAGACAGATGCGTTAAAAGACAGGGGTATGGGGAAAGGGCAGGTAAATTGGGCTGAAAAGATTGCTCTTAAGGGAGCCGGCACAAACACATTGGGGTGAATGGCATTCTTCTGTGCCATAAATTTCTTTGGTTCCTTGGGAAATTGGGATTTGAATAGTTATTTCCAGGGAAGGAGCCAACACCAGCAAAAGTTCAAGCCTGTAAAACAAGGCTGGTTGCTTGAGCTCTCATCATCCAGTCATTCAATGAGGTGAGAACCAGTTGATGACAGGCTGGCCTCATACACATCATTTTGATCTTGTCAAATCGGAGTAAAAACCACATCTAACTTGGAGCTCCGGTAAACAGTATCTTTCCCTGTTGTATACACCGCCATCTCCCACCATTTAGAACGCCTTTCAGATTGTTGGTCATCTTCCACATAATAAGCTTCAGGCACACGAAAAGCACTGCAATGTGGCACAGCACTGATGATACGTTCTCTTCAGAAATCTTCAGGTAATGGGAAGGCAACAAAAATGGACAGCTGATCGTAACTGGCCTATCGCCACAACTACCAATCTTATTCTCAATAGCATCCTCTTTATTGTATTATCCCCTACCCCCTGACATAATAATAATAATAATCCTTGCATTTGATATAGCGCTTTTCACGTCTTCTAGACGTCCCAAAGCGCTTCACAGAATATACTGTAAAGTGAATTGACTGTATATTTGTGGGCGAACGCGGCATGTGTATAGGGGGCAGATTCCTACTCGACACCTCCCTCCCCGGCTCCACCCCTCGGAGTCGGTGAGGATCCAGAGTAAAAGAAATCAGAAGCTGGAAGCGTTCGCGCCGTATGACCGTCCCTTGGTGAACTGTGCTGGCGAGGAGCGGAATACAGACGATACATCTCTACGAGGCTGTCGATCGGCGGATCGCTTTCCCGGGGGAGAGGGGGTAAAATTCCTTCCGTTAAAAAAAGATAAGAATTTGGTCACTCGACCCGCGACTGTTTGTGGGGCACTGGGGTGCGCAATTTTGATGCCCCGCTTCACCCCCAAATATACTTTACAGTGTATCCTGTGAAGCGCTTTGAGACGTCTCAACAACGTGATAAGGGGCTACATCAAGCGCAAGGGTTATTATTATTACCTGCCGTTGGGTGGGGGGGGGGGGGGGGGGGAGAGTGAGGGGGTGGGGGGAGAGTGAGGGGGTGGGGGTGGGGGGGGCTTTTAGTGGGGAAGGAACCAGCCCACAGTCACCGTCTCAATGACCCCTCCGGGGTCACACGCGGGAAGAATGCCGCCCCCCCTCTCCCCCTCTCCCCCACACACACACACACTGAACAACTCACGGGTAGCGTCGTCCCCGGAGACACCCTCTGCGTGAAGCGAGAGGTGAAGGCCAGCGCCGCGCATCCGCAACCTCCCCGGATCGGCCCGGCCAACCGCCCGCTCCACGCGGCCATGTCTCCGCCGAGCAGCGAGCGAGCACTGCGCATGGGCGGCAGGTCACCCGCGCGCGCACACACATTTGGGCGTTTTGGGCGTGAAACAAACGGCTTTGGGCGGGTGTCTAACTTTTAAATTTTAAAACACGTAAACCCGCCAAACGTTTTTTTTTTTCTCTCTCTCTCTCTTTCTTTTGAAGACCTTTCTTGATCTTCCACAGTTTCAAAAGCACTTCCCACGAAAACTGGTCACTCTGCGACCCCATGGGAGGCGACGTGTGCTATTGGGCTACTTTGGGGCTCGTGTTTGGTGGACTTTGGGCTACAACATTTTCTGTCGAGGGTCTCCTCGGAGGGAATAGTGCAATTGACTTTTAATACTTCACTCCCACCTTTCCCACAGTAGAGTTCTGTAGGTCAGCGGTTAGAGCACTCCCCTCGCAAGCGGGAGAGACCTGGGTTTGATTCCCGACAGGGAATATGGCAGAATATTGGGAGAGTTTCTTTACTCCACACACCTGACAGTAAATAGGAACCCGGTTGTTAGTTGATCGGAGAACCGCTTTTCGGGGGGCAGTAATCACTTAAAAAAACGTAATAATAATAATTTGGTCACTCAATCCACAACTGTTTGTGGGACACTATTGCGCGCCATTGGCTCCCGCATTTCGCCCGCAAAATATACGGTCAATTCACTTTACAGTATATTCTGTGAAGCGCTTGGAGGCGGCTCGAAGATGTGATAAGACGCTATATCAAATGCAAGGATTATTATTATAGTCCCTCATTGACAAGGGTTTTCAATTCTATCCCGCCCATTCAAATATTGTTTCCTTTTCAGATTTTGTATATGAACAGGGTACTAGATGTGAGAGTTGGCCATGTACGGAAACAGTATTACAGACTGAACTGATTCCCCGCAAAAATTTCATGAATTTGCTTTGGGACGCATACAGCTCCTCGCCGTAATGTACATCTCTAGAGCAGAGAAGAGAGAGGAAGCAAGTCCAACCTAAGTAATGTAGAAAAGGAATGAATCTTTGTAAGTTAAGTATCTTGTCTAGTGAACCCTTTGAATAAAAGTCTTACTTCCCTTTAATATCCAACCATTACACTGAGAGATGAAAAATATGTGTACTGGGTGTGCTATCTGAAGAAAGTTGTTGATCATTAAGTCATAAGACTTCCCTAAGTGCTTACATCCATCGCTTAAATCATATCTGTTTGTTCAAAATTGCTTCATTTTCAAAGCAGGTCTATTTTGGTTTTGCTTAATACTAAAAAAGCCTCTGTTGCTGTGGAAATTATAAAACAAAAGGGCCCCGAATGGACTGTTAATATTTAAAATGAAAAACATCTCCAGTTTGGTAGCTCTATCAGTATAGTGTTGAAGTTTGTCCATGTTTACCACCAGCTGAACAGGTACCTTTAGTTGAGGGTTGCTAGTTTTTGGCATGTCCACTAGATGGAGTAGATAATCTAGTGCCAGTAGATGTTATAATACATAAGTAGTTTGGAACATATGTGCATGCGACCGCCAGGAAGGTGGAAGACGAACTGGATGGATCTCGATCATTTGTCGTCTAGCATTTCTTATGTTCTTATAATGGACAGAGTAGGACCACCAAAATAAGTAAATTTTGATTATTAACTGGTTAGAGGGAATGATGAGACAATCCTGTTTATCTGGTTAGAGGTGGAAGTGAGATAGTGGGTTACTCCAATGAAGATCGAAAAGGATTTTTAAAAAGTTGGCAAGGGAAAATTAGAAAAAANGATGCACTATGCCTTCTTTCTAATCTGCGAATGAGAATCCTGTTTATTAAATGTGAAATTACGTAGAGGAAGTCCTTTTCACAACTGATAATTAGTTTATTGAATTCTGCAAGATTTTACCGTAATATTTATTTAACTGTGTAGGTTTGTGTTTGCTTGTTTTGGAATGTAATATGTTTTTAGGTGGGGTGTGGGGAGATAGAAATGTAATTGTAGCTCTAGGAGTTGGTTTGATTCCAAGATGATACGCTAAGTATTTAAAATCAATACATTTATTAAGTTTTGCATTTGATATTTCTTTGACTCAAAGATAGCCATTTATTATGTGAAAATATATTTGGAAATTTCTTTTCACCTACACAGACACAGCGATTCTTTTAAAAGAAAACATTCAAGTTATTTGTGAAAAAACAAAACAAAGTTACAATAAGCAATTGATAGTGGTTTCTCACAAAAATGTCCACTGTATGGTCTCGATTTAATCAGAGATAGGCATACATATGCTGTGACATACAGTACAACCTGAGAACAAACATAAGATCCCATGTATTTTTACAATTAATTCCTCTACCATCTGTTATTTTTTATTTTATTTATTTCCCTTAAAAATGTTTGGCATTTCACAGATGAACAGGCTGTTGGTAATTAACAATGGACACACACATTGGAGGTGGAAAAATGCAAAGGATATACAATTTATGGCATGAAATGCAAAAAAAACCTATTGAAAAAAGGGGGAGGCAGAAATAATACGTTTTTAGAGGAGCATATACAATATTTTACATTGAAATCTTTTGTTTATGATTCATTCTTTCCATTTAAAAGTAAGGGGAGAGACTAGACTGCCATTTAGTTTGTTGTACTTAGTCCTTTTGCTGACATATTTTATTAATTAACGCCATTCCTCACAGTACATCTGTAGTGCATCTGTACTATCTTAGCTTTCCTGTTTGGTTGTGCAGATTCCTCCCCTCTTATCCTATTTGTGTGCAACTAAGAATTTGGTAGGGTTTCATTTCTAACCTGATTGTGTGTCAAAGAAAATCCAATAGGAATTTCTAAAATAACTGCATTGATTTATTTCATTAATTTTCTACTTTATACTAGTTGTGAAGCTTAATGTACAGTATCCCTTGCCGTGCTCATTGTTATTTTCAGGGCTCTGTCCTCAGTCTCCTCATCTTCACCCTCTACATGCTCCCCCTTGGTGACATCATTCGCAGACATGGGGTAAATTTCCACATGTATGCGGATGACACCCAACTCTATCTCTCTGCCTCCACCCTCAACTCCAGGACGACTGGTATCCTGACCGACTGCCTGTCCGACATCAAGTCCTGGACGAGGGACAACGTTATCCAACTGAACGTCAGCAAGACCGAGGTCCTCCTGATTGGCTCGCGCCAGCACCTCTGCACCTTGGGCATTGGCAGCATCAGCCTCCATGGCCTCACACTCAACCTCACTAAGACAGTCAGGAACCTGGGTATCTTGTTTGACCCTGAACTGTCCTTTCTCCCCCACATCCGCGCCATGACCAGCACTGCCTACCACCACCTCCACAAGATTGCCAGACTCTGCCACTGCCTCACCCCTCAGGCTGCCGAAAACCTCACTCACGCATTCGTCACATCAAGGCTCAATTATGGAAACTCCCTCCTCATCAGCCTTCCCAACTTTTCCCTTCAAAAGCTGCAGATCATCCAAAACTCTGCACCTCATGTACTCTCATGCACCAGGCTCCGTGACCCCATCACTCTCACCCTCGCCCGACTCCACTGGCTCCCCATTCCCAGAGGATCGAGTTCAAGATCCTCGTCCTCACCTTTAAGGTCACCCATGGCCGCCCACTCCTACCTCTCTGACCTGCTGACTCCCTACGAACCTGCCTGCTCCATTTGTTTAGCGGGCTCCGGCCTGCTCCATGTCTCTCGCCCGACCCGTCCTACCATCAGTGGCCGGGCTTTCAGCCTCTCTGCCCCCACACTCTGGAACTCCATCCCATAATCCCTTTGCCTCGCTTCCTCCCTTGCCTCATTCAAGGCCGGTCTCAAGACCTTCCTCTTCGATCATGCCTTCAGTCGCCCTCCAACCTCTCTGCTTCCCTCACCCCTACCCCACCCCTTCCCCATACTCGGATCCTGACCTCTAACTGTCTAGCCCTTTGGGACGTCCTCCCGATGTGAAAGGTGCTCTATAAATGTAATTTTGTTGTTGTTATTCGACATGTTTGGGCATAAATCAACAACAACTTGCATTTATGTAACACCCTTCAGCGCGGTAGAATTCTGGAGCACTTGAAATCAATGTTGAGATCAAGGATTTCACCAGAAGCAGGCAGTAGCAAAATTTCAGGATCTGTTCTTGCTCAAATCACCAATAGATTTTTTTAATGCATTGGCCCCAAATTTCTGGAAAATGTAATTTTTGGATATTCCATTTGGTGCTTCCTGCTGATGGGGGTTGGGAGGAGTTGGAGGGGATTAGGGAGGGAGTTCCAGAGAGGAGCAGAGTGGCTGAAAGCTTAGCTGTATAAAAAAATTCATCCAATGACCTGGCAGTCAATTCACCAGAATTTCATCATGATTTGTGGCACCTTACGAGGGCAAAAAGCTCCCAAGTTAGAACAGTAGCTACCTGTGAAGCACTTTCACACTCTTCAACATGTAAGGTACAAGGTAATGCAAAATTGTAACTTTTTACTGCTACCAGTAATTGATTTAAGAATAGCATAATATTTTATTGTTGCTCAACATTTTCCCCGCCCGGGAAATATAATAAGTAGATTGTGTGTGGGACGTCTCTGTGCGCCAATCTGTCAGGTATAAATGTACAGCAGAATATTTAGATAAAGAATTTTTGCCGCCTATTATCCAACAGGTGCTCTTTTTGTGATATTCCCATGGTTATTGGAAGCAGATGTATATTAGAAAAGTACTTGGATACTACTAATTAAATTATCTACAATTTGGTATCAATAAAAAAACGTAATTGTCAATGTGGAGAATTTCAGGACACATTTTTTATCAGTTGTAAAGTGGAATTTATGTTAATCTGTTATTAGTACCAAAATGAATGCAGCCGAACAAATGTCCTTGATACTTGATAATGACTGGCATCTTGTTTAAAGAGCTGTCAAAATATAACAATCTCTTGAATTACATTATTGAACAAAATGCTTCAGGCAATGAAGAATGTGAATCAAAGACTCATTGTTCTACTAATATAGCGTCCAGGGTAAATGTTTCTGGAAACCAAATGGTAATACCCTACCTT